ATTCATTCAAAAATACTATCATTATCCCGTTACATAAGCAGTTAAATAAAACAAATTATCGACCAATAGCACTTACAATTACACTATCCAAAGTCTTAGAAAATTGCATCAAAGATAGGCTTTATAACTTCTTAGAAACATGCTCAAGTTTTTCTGGTAATCAATTTGGTTTCAGGAGAAACAAAGGTACCTGATAAAGCTTTAATGGCTGTAATTAGTCACATTTACAACAAACTAGATAAGAATAGAGCAGCAATAAGACTTTTTATAGATGTTAAAAAAGCTTTCGATTCTGTTGACCATTCAATATTACTAGCTAAATTAGAAAAATACGGTATCAGGGGTAATGCAAATAACTTTATATGTAATTTTCTAGAAAATCGTATTCAACAAGTAAAAGTAAATGACAATGTAAGCGATTATCTGATTTCAAATCATGGAATACCGCAAGGTACTACTGTATTAGGTCCACTTATTTTTATTGTTTATATTAATGACTTATTGAATATAAAGTGTAACGGATCATTTTTCATTTTTGCAGATGACACCTCAATTATTATAGATGCCATAAATAAAAATCATATTCATTGTAAATCTACTCATGTATTAAGTATCTTCAAAACATGGTTTGATAATAACCTCCTAGAACTTAATTAAACAAAAACTTGCTTTGTGAATTTTAGTATAAATAAATTGTCACCCACTAGAAATAATTATCAATAAACCTCATAAATTGTAATGAATTTAATAAAAATAGAGTGTCTGCTATTAGTAATGACAGTAAGTGTAATTGCACTTATATTTCTTCAGTACAAAATGTAAAATATCTAGGTATTACTATTGATGCTAACCTTAAATGGCAAAATCATATTATTAATACAACTAGAAAGATCAAGACTATTGTTCTATAAATTTAAAATTTKTAGAAACATWCTATCACCAACCACAATGAGAATAGTTTTCATAGCTATGGCTCAGTAAATTTATTCATATGGTATTGGGAGTTGGGGTGGTGCCTACAATATACATCTGAATTAACTTGAAACCACTATAAACTCTGTTATTAAAATATCTTTTAAAAAACCCTACAAGTTGAACACTGTATTGTTTTATAAAAAATGTAATCTATTAAATTTAACTCAATTATATGCACGACATATATTATCGAATATGTTTTTCCTTGATATTCAAAAATTTAGATTTTAACATAACCATTGTACAAGAAAGAAACAAACCAATATGTATTTAATTCCAATGTGTAGAACGGAATTTGGAAAAAGAAACCCCTTGAATGCTAGAATTAAGATGGCAATGGAATTAAATATTGACGTTGGTTTGTTTAAAATCTTTAGATTATATAAGAAAATAGTAAATGAACAAATTAAATTACTAACTTTGATAAATTTTATTACATCTGTATTCCTGTAAAATTGTTATATTWATTTGGTAATTCAAAAAATATTTTTAAATTTATATTTATGATAAGCTTATAATCACTAAATCAACTATGATTGACTTATATTGTGTTAATTTAATTATTTTAGTAAATATAAGAGATATTTTTAAAAACCTTGTCTCCACAACAAGCCTAGCTTATGGAGATAATCATTTATGTATAATGCCATATTATAATAAGTATAAATATTTTTACTAATTTACATATGTATGTATACATTTCTATTTTTAAATGAAAATAAATAAATAAATAAAATACTACATTTTAATTTTGTTTAGCTCTGTTAACTTGGAATCCATGAAAATAATATAAAATGAATATTTAGTAAATAAAGTAAATATTACATACAGTGAAACTTCCATAAAATGAACTTCCATCTAACGAAATTTTCTATTAAACGAATTATTTTTGAGAACCATGACCTTCATTGACAATTACACGTAAATTTTTCTCCAAATAACCAATCTCATGTTTCTATAATATAATGAAATAACTATTCGATAAAAACTGGTTTTTCAAATGTTGTCATTATMAAATTTTAAACATGGTGTTCTAAAATTGTATATGAACAATAATAAAGATAAGACATCAAAGGTAGGCAAACTGATTAATTCCACTGCAGTATTTGTATTTCAGTTCCAATATTGATGCAAACGTGTAAAATACAAATTTTTTTCGTTTTCTCTTCGTCCGTATAAAAAAATGTCAAAACGTAAATGTCTTAAGAAAAACAAAAAATAATTTTATTAGTGTTTAATTGTGCTGCTCATCCTCGTACTTTATCTATAAAGTTAAAATCTGTAATATTTGAATATTTTCCTCCGAATACAACAAGTAGGCTCCAACCAGTCCAACCAATGGACCAATAGGAATAGTTAATATTCTTAAAGTGTATTATCGAAAACGTGTTTTGAACAAAGTACCATACTATTTCGTTAAGGTTAAAAATTAAATTAAACTGTATTATGATTTTTTATTATATTTTTCATATAATTCACTTATTATTTCTTTTGAAATATAAAATTATAATACATTATAATATATATATACACACACACACACACACACACACACACACATTCATACATACATACATACATACATACATACATACATACATACATACATACATACATACATACATACATACATACATACATACATACATACATACACACATACCTACATAAATAATTAAATTTTAAAAAAAGTTGAAAAAAATACACAATTCTATTGAACGAATTCCTCCATATTACAAATTTTTTTGGTTGCTTATTTGACTTTGTTATATGGAAGTTTCACTGTATAGTAGGATTCAAGTTTTATTAATATTGTGATATGGAGTTTTGGTTGAATTTAATGGCTGAATTTAAAATAGTAGATTATAACACTAATACTATAGTATTAAAATATCTACATAATTAATAGGAAGTACATAAAATATATAACCTTTTCATTGCTGTGTTAGACTTTGAAGGCTTACGACGTCTTTTGTTATTTGGTTCAGATGCAATACTTCCACCAGAATCTGAACCATAGTTTTCACGACGTTTCCCTTTACCCTTAGGTTTTTCTAAAACATGGTCAAATACCAGGACATTCTTTGTTTTTTCTCTATATTCTTGACGTTTTAGCATTATTTCTTTTCTTTGTTCTTCTTGTTTTTGTAATGCTTTAGTTTGTTCTTCAATCTGTTTGACACGGTATAATTTTCGTTTCTCTTCTTGTTTATGACGCATGTCAAGCTCATCATTATCCTTCTTATGTGCTCTTAACACATAGTATTGGACTTGTGACAGTAAATCTTGACACTGTTTAGCTTCAATATTAGCTAGACTTACATCATACCTCATAGAATCACCGTGAACAGACAAATATTGGAAATATCTAAAAAATAATACATATAATTTATAATACCTAATGATAATATTTATAAAACCAGTAATTATACTTATGTGATAGTTCAAGTTCATATAMAGCTTTCAGTACATCTTTCAAGTTTGATTTTTCATCTTTCAGTATTTCAGTTGCTAATTTTTGTAGGACAAGAGCAATATTGTATATTAAAACTGTATCCTGAGGAGCAACCCTTCGAGCCTAATATCAAATAAAAAGTTTATGTCACTATATTACTTTATATAACAAATAATTATATTTACTCACTTTCAAAAATACTGTTTTTGCTTCTTTCAACTTTCCTGCTCTAAAGTATGCATGCCCAAGATATTGAAGTACTTCAACGTTATCATGTTTGAAAAACTTCTTCATACAATTTTCATACTGTAATATTATATCAAATAAATATGTAGTAACATAATATGCTTAGTAAATTAAATAATTGATACGTTATCTGAAAAATTTCAACATACCATTTGAATAGCACTAATATGCTGTTTTTGTTCAACGTATAAATGTGCAATATTCAACCAAACGTCACAAAAATCAGCAGTAGCTTCTCTTACTTGAGAAAATATTTCTCTTGCTTCATTTATACAATTCTTATGTGCCAAAACACAACCTTGATACACCAATTTATTTTTAGTAAAATTATTAAGCATTATATAGTACATTCTTACCATTGAGTATTGAACATAAAATCTATAAAAAGGAATTCCCTCAAAAGATATCAGTACTGAAAAATTAATTGAGTATAATTTTCAAAAAATTAAAGTCATGGAAAAATTTAAAATTATATCTTTTGATTTTTATTAATAATAAACTGAGTGTTTGTAATAGCGTACCAGGAATTTAAATGTAGAGGGAGTATTAACTAATAATACATTTAAATAGATTGTGTTTGTAATACCAAAGACTCAAAATACTCAATAAAATCCTAGTTACTAATCTATTTATACAAATAATCACCAACCAATTCCGTTAGCAGCCCAAATGTTCCTTGGATCATATTTCAATGCTTTTGTATAAAATTGTAATGCCAAGTTTTGATGTCTTTTTTCTTGGTCCTTATTTCTAGTTGGTTGATGTAGAGTTTGCAACCAAACATTTCCCAGAGCAATCAATGAGTATGAATCATTTAATGTTGATGGGTTCTAAAGACAATTCAAATTATTATATTTGAATTATATACAAAAGTTATTATGACATACATTCAGCACACGTTCAAATTTTTTTTGCCCAGGACCCCATTCCATTTTGGCTAAATGCAAGTTCCCTAGAAGTGACCAGGCATCGGGATGTTCATTGTTTATACGCAATACTTCTTTAAACCAATCAGAAGCTTCATAAATTTGGTTACGATCTCGAGCCATACAACCCAAACGTAAGTAACCTGTAAGTTATAAGATTATATTACTTATAACAGCATAAAAGTAAATCAATTATTTATATACAATCAACATAATTAGGATGCTCTTTGAGAATGTCTTTGTAAAATGTTTCTGCCTTCTGAAACTGGCATTGCCTTTCATAAATCCTTGCTAAATTGTATGTAATTGTAACAGCAATGGAGTTATAACGCTGTGGATTTGTTTCAGTCATTTTCTTTGACAAACTCAAAGATTCTTCAAGTTTATAACGAGATTCATCCATATTATTAAGCCTTTAAAAATAAATAATAAATTACAATTTTTATGTTTATAATTTGTTCAACTTTGACATAAATTTTTACCTATAATGTAATGAAGCAACATTATTAAGTATTTCTGGTGGAATGTAATTATTAGGCATGTTGCYGATTAAAACTATAGCTTTGCCATATGCAGACAATGATGCTTGTAAATCTGATTGCTCTAATATTTGCGCTAAATCTATCCAAACGTCTACATCATCTGGGGATTGTTCTGTTATCTAGGTTGATAAAATAATAATTAAAGTTTTATATATTATTTTCATTTTTAAATTACATACTTTTTTTAAATAAGTTTTTGCAATATCTCGTTTCTGTTGATTTTTTGAAGTAGCATACAATGAACCTAGAATTTTCATTGCCTCATAATTGTCAGGATTAGCTTTAAGCACTTTTTCAAAGCACTGAGCTGCCTAATATMATTTTTAAACAAATGCGTTTAAATATTTATGTAAAGAAAAAATTTCATGAATTAGTATTACATTTTCCTTATCACCTCCATAAATATACATTTGACCAAGGCCAAAATGTGGGAGAACAAAAGTAACAGGTGCAAACTGGGTTGCTTGATAATAATATTGGAATGCTTGGTCATAATTATTCTAAAAGTTGAATCATATTAAAATTATATAAAACAGTGATAATAAAAAAAAATCCTGCACTACCTGTACATGGAAAACTCTAGCTATATGATAACAACTTTCAGCTCTCACAGCTTCATTCTCTGTGTTTTGTAGGGCATGTCTAGCAAGTAATTCAGACTTGGCATAGTCTTTTTTATAGAAGAAGTGATTAGCCAAATGATTTAAGACCATTGGGTTGTTTGTATCAATAGCATATGCTTTTGACAACATGTTTACACCTAATTTGATGTCACTAGGATTTTCACTGTTCAACTTCATGACGGCAAGACCAACTAATGCACCAACACAATTGGGATCTAACTGTAAGGTACGTTCAAATGCTAATCGAGCTTTTTCTATGTTTCCTAGTTTCAAAAAGCAATGTGCCATGCCAAGTCGAACATCAGCAGGACACTGAGGGTTAAAGCGCAATACTTTTTTATAATAGGCTAGAGCTCCTTTGTAGTCCTTCCTGTTGAATGCAATACAAGCTTTGCCTAATTGAGCTGGTATATTGTTAAATGATTGATTCAATACAAAATTGAACTGAGCATCTGCTTGTTCAATTTTACCACCTTCTAATAAGCAAAAGAAAGCACGACCCAACAAATGATTCTAAAAATTTAAGAAATATTTGATTACATTTAAAAAACTGAGATGTAGATACAAGATACAAAGTATTATAACTATGTACTCACCAAATCATACATCATAATTTTATCCCCTGTTGTATAAAGTTTTGTGGCCTTGTTGAAAAGTTCTCGGCGTTTATCTTTACATTTTTCTTGATTAGCTGTTTGCACATAGTATGCTGCCAACATATCAAGAGCTTTCATTTGATCTTTCTCGCTATCTTTATATTTTAAGTTAGCATTACTACGTGATGACTGCAGCAACATAACTAATGCAGCTGAATTGCCTCTTTTATAATACTCTAACTAAAATTTGTTAAAAAAATTATATTATTATACATTAATATGAAAAAAAGTTAAGTTATTAAACAAGACATACAGCTAAATTGATCCATATATGTAGATTTGAATGTTCAGACTTTAAAATGCCATGCACTTCATCATACTCTGGCAACTTGTCTAATTGTATTTCAATCACCTAAAAAAAAATTAAAATTTTGAATTGGATTTTTATTCAAAATCTTAATTCAACATTAAAATAGCTACTAACTTTTTTACTTAATTAAGTGATTTAACAAGCAATATGTTATATGGAACATATGTATCAGAAATCAATTAATTATTTAAAACTTATATCATTTTATTGTTTAACAAATCTTTTTATCATAATTTATGTAATAATATAACATGATAGGTACCTAGGAAGGTAATATACGAGTATTATAATTTATTAAGTCTTTATCATCATTTATAAAATCCAAAACTTTGGAAAATATACATTCAATAAAATAAAAACCAATAACATGGTAGATTTATGTAGGTTTTTTGTCCCATATCAAAATTATAAAAGTAAATGTAATGTTGCAACAATTAACCAATATTTCAAAAACTTAGATCAGTTATATTTTTCATGATATCGCCTACGTCATATTAATGGAATTTTGATTGTTTTATACTTACTATATTTCTATATTGTATAGTAACATTAATAAGCAAAAAAAATGGTGGACATTTTTAAAAACCGATTAATAGGTACAGTGCAATAAGTGTTCTTGGAGTCATTTTATCAAATAATTTTCATTCATAAATTAATACTATTCAAACTATAATTATTTTAAACAGTTTTTGGTAAAAGATAACTTATATTAAATTGATACAAGCATGGAAACAAATAAGGGAAATCCCAACAATATAATACAGAAGAAACTAATTTACAATTTATAAAGAAACTTCTACACACAGACAATTTACTGAAACCTTTACATACTTACAAACAAATTTAAATACAAAAATCAGATTTATTCTGCAACAAGGCTACAATTCTAGTAATTCATGTAACTACTAAAATTTAAGTTGGTAGGTATCTAAATTATGATAAAATAATATCTCTAAGAAACGATAACTAAAAAATTGTATTTTTTACACATATATTACTCATACAACTTATATAGGTAATACCATTGATATTAAAGCATACAGATAGGCCATATAATAAGTGTTTTTGGTAACTAATAATATGCTGTCAGCCGCTAAGTTCACTGTATCCGTTTGCATAATACTTAATACAAATGGGTATAGTAAACTTAGCTACTAACCTTATATTTTTACTTTTTAGTCAMTGAAACTCCTATGCAATGGCTTATCCGTGTTTTAATCCCAATGGTAATTGTAGCATTCTTTTATTTAATTAGTAGTTGTTTTTATTTAAATATTTTATTTTATTTAGATTAATTTAAAAATAATTGGATAAACTTATTTGATAAAACTGTATGAATTGTGAAAATAAAATAAAATTTTTTTTTTAATTTTACTTATTTTAATTGTGACTCATAACGCTGATATTAATATTACCCTTTATTTAATACCTAACCATTAATAACATTACATACTTACATCTATCAATAATCTAAAAAAATATTCTATTAAACTTTTCTTAAACTSTTGTAGATATATAAAACAACATGTGTTACAACAAATTAAAAATTAAAAATTCCAAAATATAAAAATAACATCCACTAATCAAACTGTACAGTTTTTGCATTTGAAGTTCAGATTAGCATTAGGTAATCATTTCAGTCTTATGTTCAATTGTTTTTCCTAGAGATAAAAATCCCTGATAAATTTCATCATTTAATAACCATATAAATTAAAAGCTTTAAAAAAATATTTTCAGAATTATTTKGTAGCTATTAAAATGAAAAATGGAAAATATTTATTAATTAAAGCAAAAAAAGCATGGTTTTAACTAATAATGAAAAATTGTATTAATATTTATACCTATTGGTTCTTATTAATTGTAAATTAAATTATTTACATATCATTACTTTTATAAAAGTACACTGTATTAATTAGTATTTTTTTGTAATTTTAAACAAACAGAAACAAAACTTTATATTTATATTATGATTCATTAAATAATAAATACATTTAACAAACAATTGTTATAAATATTGACAACATATTTTATACAATTGTTAATACAGAGATATAGATCCAAAATGTATAGACTTTAAAATTTTCTTTGGATTTATATAACCGAGCTATACATGCAGTGTTAATGGTAAGTTAACAAAATTACATACCTCGTCTGAGTCCTTTAATGGGATTTCGATTGAGTTGACCATTTTGGGACGGTCAAGATTGAACTATGCAATCAAAACTAAAATGTAACAAATATAATTCATTATACGTGAATTTTAAGGGAAAATATCCATTAAAAATGAAGGTATCTAAGAGCATAAAATAAAATTGAGTATTAAAAAATTAACACTATTTTAACATATTATTAACACTTCCAAAATCAACATTCAGGATTCAGGAATCATATAATTCAAATCTAGTGCAATAACTTGGCTTGACGTTAAACCGTTTGCGGCTTTGGCTAATATCGTATTAATATGTGATAATAGTAAGGCAAAGAATGAATAGTCTAAAAAACCTTGGTTAGTGGTTAGAATTACAAATCACGTTTAGATTATTTGAATGATTTTATAAAAAAATCAGTATAAGACAATGACTTAGTAAAACTATAACATTACACGAGGTATATGACACGACAAACGAAAGGAGAGAGATAGGTTAGTCAGAGACAGTGGCGTAGCCAGGGGGAGGGCTGAGGGGGCTGCAGCCCCCCCCCC